GCCGCGGCGCTGTCTCAGGCGGGCCACCGGAGGCGGACCTGCGGAGACGTGCTTTATCCTGTCTCGCACCCCAACCGCCAGATCCGGAAGCGGAGGTTTTCACATGTGGGGGGGTGTGGATGGGGGGGTGTCTCAGAGGGTCTGGTCCCAGTGGCGGGCCAGAGAGGGGGCTGGGAAGCAGAGCGGAGAGCCGAGAGAGGGGCAAAGAGGCTGAGAGCAAGAGAGACAGGCACAGAGAGAAAGACAGGGAGAAAGAGAGGACAGGGGAGAGAGTGACAGACACCAAGAAGCAGAAATGGAGACTGAGACCAGGGCGTGATCCCCAGAGAAAAGCAGGGGAGGTGTAGTGGCCTCGGAGAAGGGAGAGGAGAGAAGGGGGGGTGGCCAGAGGAGGGGGTACGGAAGCCCCTGCCTGGTGGGACAGGGGCAACAGGGTAGATGCCCCTGGATGGCCCTTAGACTGCGTGTGCGACTCTCTCCCCTGGGACCCCAGTGAAGAGGGGCTGTGGATAGAGTGCTGGGCAAAGCCACACCCTCACACCCTTCTCAGTTCCCCTGGCCTCTGTCCCCCACAGCCCTGGCCTCTGTCCCCCCACTGGCCTCTGTCCCCCCACAGCCCCTGGCCTCTGTCCCCCACAGCCCTGGCCTCTGTTCCCCCATAGACCCTGGCCAGCAGACAGCAGATACTGACACACAAGCTCAAGCAAGGGGCTTCTCCATGGCGACAGGGGTGGGACAGGCAGGGATGGGGACGGACACTGAGATCCTGTGGTCTAGGCCACAATCTTAGCTCCAGGTTCAGGGTTTCTGGAATGGCCCATCTCATCCACCTGCATTAGGATTGGGGATCTTGGCCCTGCCCAAGGGAGGGGCAGGCATGCAGGGCAAGGGGACCCCCTGAGCTGCAGGAGCTGGCACACCCCACTCAGACATTTCTCAGTGTGGTCTAACACAATGTGCCCTCAGTGAGCCCACCCTGGCATGGTCAGTGCCAAGGGCCCTGGGGGTGCCACCCAGTACCTCAGTTCCTGGGGAGGTTGTTCCAGGCCAGGCTCTGTCGGCCACCAGAAGAGTCTAAAGACCAGGCCACCGACCGCTAGAGCCCCCGACTCCTGGAGCCTGCTTTACTGGGGACAGAGGACAGCCCCTGGGGACAGAGCTGGGAGGGGACTTGCCCATCTACCCGCAGAGCTGGCCTGAGCCTGGATTTCCTGTGAGAGCACAGAGGGGCACGGTGAGGGCTGGGGGCGCCTCCAGGCCCTCAGCTTTGCTCGGGAGTCAGGCAGAGACCTCCTGAGGCGGTGTCCGCGTCAAGAAGCGACGAGAAGAGAAGGAGAGTGGGCCTGGGATCCAGAGAGAGAATCAGTTTCAGAGTGAAGCGTCCAAGACCTACTGGGTCAGGGGGAGGGCAGGATTCCCAACCCCCTTTAATGTACAGGCCTCAGCCTCCTCCCCTGGAGTCCCCTCAGGAAGATGGGGAGGAGCCAGAGAAATTCTATGGAAGAAGCTCAGGGTGTGCAGCTTCGCTCCTCTTCACGCCGCCCCAGGGGCGCCCTGTCCATTGTGGGTCAGCCGCATGGACCCCCAAGTGGGCCTGCCCCCTGGAACTGGGGGAGGGGCTTCTGTGGAGCAGGGTGGCGGGAGGCCGGGAGGTCTGCTGCCTCTGTTCACTGTTGTGCCCACAGTTCCTGGGTGGCAGCCCCTCAGTGCCTACTCCCTGGATGAAGGAGAGAAGGAAGGAACGAATGGCCCAGCAGCCACTTCCTCGCCGAGTGGACTTGGCCATGTGGCTCCTCTGAGATGCTGGTTCCTCATGTATAAAATGCCTCAAATACAGTGAGAGACCCTCAGTAGAATGATCGGCCCAGAGCAGGCGCCGTCACCAGGGGACCGTTTCCTATGGAACCGCGACGACTTTGAGAGTGGAACAGGGCACTATTCACAGTTCTGCGGGGACAGTGGGCACCCACGGCTCTCGGTCCCTTCCAGTGTGACTTTGCCGGGACAGCAAAGCTCACTGGGCCGCGTTTGCTCCTCTGCTCTGGAGTACCCTGAAGTCAGAGGGTGCTGTCTGAGGCCCTGCAGCAAACCCATCCTGGGCTAGCTATTGGGGGGCACACGCCCACCTGCCTGCACCCCCAGCCCACTGCCCATAGCCTCACCCTCTGGCTTCAGGCTTTTCCCACCTTCCTCTTTATCTAAATCTCCCTGACCCCTGTCTTTTCGGGCCCAGGAAGCCCGCGGACACCCCCCGAGGGCCTTCGCTGGGCTCCGGACATCACAGCGCTGCCCTCAGAGGCTTAGGTGCAGCCAAGGGAGGGGCCCCTGGTTTCATGGCATCTTCCTGGCCGGGCATGGATCTCATTCACAAAGCCCTGCTGGGCTGGGGCACCCACGCAACCCACCCCACGGCCACCTCCGCCCCTCCCCTCCAATACGGAACCAGGTGGGGGGTGTAATGTGGTAATAGCGACCCTGTTAATTGCTTCCAAATGGTCACTGTAGCCAT